TCAATCAATTTTCCTGTTTTGTTTTTCAGTAATGTCACAGAAGCCTTCAATTTTCAGGTAAAAGATATCACTACTGAAATGTTGTGCAATAGAATTTATTGAGTAAAGTGACCATTGATTCTTGGCTTATCTAAATCTCTAGAAAAATCATCACAATCAGATCAGAACCAAAGAACTGCTGTATCATTTTTTCAGTGGCTGCCAACAGAGTGAGTGAATTAAGCACAGTTTCTGTGCTATTTTTCTGCTACTTAATGGTCATGTTAGCTTTGATTAAGTTTAAATGTATGTCTGTCACTCTATTCAAATTGGTGCTACTCTATCAACATCCACTGAAACTGCTGCTTTTAAAGGTGTATCACATCATATGAGGCAATTTGCACATGGATTGGAGTACATCCTTGTTAAAAACTTTTATAGAGAGAATCCATAGAGTACTTAAGTGCAAAGAAAAATATACTGACTAGCTGCAGACTACACTTACACAGTTGCTTATTTAAAACAATTTTGGGGGCCATCACACATAATAATAATTATTTATTTGTTCACTCTGATGTATCTCTTTTATTTTAACAGCCAAAAACATGAGCAAGCTTTTGCAGCTGTCCTTGGACTCTGTTGAAGAGGTTGGATGAAATTTGCATTAATTACATGAATTGCTGTCTTTTGAAATAGTAGTAAATGCACATGAATGCCCAAATGTTACTAGTATATCACCATGCAAGGATGTTTAAAATCACAAAAGATGTGCAAGAAGAGGGACAAGGCATCGCCAGTTGAAATAGAGGAATTCTGAATGTACTTGTAGTAGTTTGCATCAAAATTTGGGGAGTCCCATTTAAAAGAATTGTCAAACACCAATAGCATTGAATACAGTTGAACCTGTGATCAAACTCAGTCAACGCAACTCCTCTTTTCCTCCCACATTAATGTACAAGCTTGATAATGCCTGGCAGTTACTTACTTGTTTTGATTTATCCTGCATACACATTTTTGCAAAACCCCATAATCTAGGTATTAATTATAGAGGTTATATTTTGAATTAAGTCCTTGAAAAATAAAATGATAATTACACAAAGAAGATACAAAATAGATAAAATTAAATAATTAAATAATTCGTGTAGCCTCCTAGACTGAAACAACAAATCAATGAAAACCAAAAAAAAAAAAAAAAAGAAACAAAAAGCATATCTTGTTTGACTGTGCGGTTTCCCTGGTTGGATAGGCAAATAAGTAGCTAAGTAAATAAAAAAATAATCTTTAATAATATGAAAGATATCCAACTGTGTAGGTTTAGATTTTGTCATAATTATATGTTTAACTTTGTAAGTCTTGGTTTTGTCAGGAATTCTTGGTAAACTTTCTTCAAGAAGAAACCTTCCCATATTCCAAAGAACTACTTGTGATGCACTACCTTCAAAAAGGACGTTATGTAGAAGGAATCAGGTTAAATGAACTCCTTAAAAAGGATAAAAAGGTATGTATTAAATGAATGTTGTTTTGCACAACAACAACTTCCTTTAATTGTAGGTGTTTTTTGGCTCCTTGGTTTCTTTATATGAATGATTATATTATTAACAAGGCTGGGAAGAATTCTAAACAGGCTTTTACAAGAATAATATTATGTAAGTGACCAGTACTTTCAGTAATTATGAAGTTTTTAAAACGCAACTGAAAATATCTAAAATCAAGCCAGAATTGCTCCTTTCACTCATCCATTGACTGCATGGTGCT